CTCCCGTCCATTATGCATTTTTCTTCCCCCTCCTGTTCTACATCTTTTTCCCCTTCTGTTTCTGTTCCATGTCTTTCTCCCTTCTGTCCACTGTCTTTCATTCACTGTCTTTCCTCTTTCCATTCCACATCTCCCTTTTATCTTCCATTCCATGTCTTTCTCCCTTCCATCCAGCTCCTTTTTTCCTTTCGTTCCATGTCTTTCTCCCCTTCATTCTACCGCTTTCTTCATTTTTATTTCTAACTCCAGTTCTTCTTTAAATTCATTTTCTTTTTCACTTCAGTTCTCCTATTTCTTTTTTCATCACTTTCTCCTTCCTTCATCGCTTTCATTTCTTTCTTCTTTTTTCTATCTATTTTTCCTTCATCTTTCTTTTTCTCTTTTTCATCCTTCATTTTTTTCTCTCATTCTTCCTTTCCTTATTTCTTATCCTCTCATTCTATCTTCCTTTCTCTGTCATTTCCTTTCCATTTTCTTTTCTTCTTTCTCTTCCTCTCTCCATTTCCACCTTTCTCTTCCTCTCTCCATTTCCACCTTTCTCTTCCTCTCTCCATTTCCACCTTTCTCTTCCTCTCTCCATTTCCACCTTTCTCTTCCTCTCTCCATTTCCACCTTTCTCTTCCTCTCTCCATTTCCACCTTTCTCTTCCTCTCTCCATTTCCTCCTTTCTCTTCCTCTCTCCATTTCCACCTTTCTCTTCCTCTCTCCATTTCCACCTTTCTCTCTCTCCTCTTTCCACCTTTCTTCTTCCTCTCTCCATTTCCTCCTTTTCTCTTCCTCTCTCCATTTCCGCCTTTCTCTTCCTCTCTCCATTTCCTCCTTTCTCTTCCTCTCTCCATTTCCACCTTTCTCTTCCCTCTCCATTTCCTCCTTTCTCTTCCTCTCTCCCATTTCCACCTTTCTCTTCCTCTCTCCATTTCCTTCTTTCTCTTCCTCTCTCCATTTCCTTCCTTTCTCTTCCTCTCTCCATTTCCTTCTTTCTCTTCCTCTCCATTTCCTTCTTTCTCTTCCTCTCCATTTCCTTCTTTCTCTTCCTCTCTCCATTTCCTTCTTTCTCTTCCTCTCTCCATTTTCCTTTCTCTTCCTCTCTCCATTTCGCCTTTCTCTTCCTCTCTCCATTTCCGCCTTTCTCTTCCTCTCTCCATTTCCGCCCTTTCTCTTCCCTCTCCATTTTCTTTTCTTCTCTCTCCATTTCCCTTTTCTCTTCTCTCTCATTTCTTTTTCTTCCTCTCTCATTTCCTTCTTTCTCTTCCTCTCCATTTCCTTCTTTCTCTTCCTCTCATTTCCTTCTCTTCTCTTCCCTTTCTCTTCCTCTCTCCATTTCCACCTTTCTCTTCCTCTCTCCATTTCCTCCTTTCTCTTCCTCTCTCCATTTCCTCCTTTCTCTTCCTCTCTCCATTTCCACCTTTCTCTTCCTCTCTCCATTTCCTTTCTCTTCCTCTCTCCATTTCCGCCTTTCTCTTCCTCTCTCCATTTCCTTCTTTCTCTTCCTCTCTCCATTTCCTTCTTTCTCTTCCTCTCTCCATTTCCTTCTTTCTCTTCCTCTCTCCATTTCCTTCTTTCTCTTCCTCTCTCCATTTCCGCCTTTCTCTTCCCTCTCTCATTTCCTTCTTTCTCTTCCTCTCTCCATTTCCTTCTTTTCTTCCTCTCCATTTCTCCTTTCCTCTTTCTCCATTTCCTTCTTTCTCTTCCTCTCTCCATTTCCTTCTTTCTCTTCCTCTCTCCATTTCCGCCTTTCTCTTCCTCTCTCCATTTCCGCCTTTCTCTTCCTCTCTCCATTTCCGCCTTTCTCTTCCTCTCTCCATTTCCGCCTTTCTCTTCCTCTCTCCATTTCCGCCTTTCTCTTCCTCTCTCCATTTCCGCCTTTCTCTTCCTCTCTCCATTTCATCCTTTCTCTCCATCTCTTTACTTCTTGTTTATATCTTTATTTACCATTTTCTTTCATCAATCTTATTTTCTAGTTTTGTCTTTTTTCCATTGTTGCTCTTTTTGTTTCATTCATTTTTCTATTTCTTCTTCATATCACTGCCCCCTCTTCTTTCAACTTCCTGATTTTCCTTTCTTTTTTTTTTTTTTTTTTTAACATTCATTTTTTTTCTCTTTTGTTTCATCATTATTTCAGAAAAATTTTATCAATTTTTAAATTGACTGCTACCAGTTTCATTTTTTCCTTTCTGAAAAACTAAAATAAAATAGTTTTGGTGGTCGAAAATGCACCCACTTTTGCTTAACAGATAACACAGCCATCATAAGTATGGAATCCATATTGAATTTTTAAAATTGGAAATTTTATAAATATTTCAGAAAATGTTATCAATAACCTCTTTCTATAGCAACAGTCATTTAATATGCATTACAATTGTCAGTTATTGTGATTGGTAGAATTTAAAAAAAATATTTTGGTTAGTTTTGTAAATAGTAACAAAAGCTAATGAATTCTTTGGAATGTTGATTGTTTTATCAGTTAAAATTTCATCATGACAGCTTTATGATGGTAGCACCATTAATTATTTGTTCTGAGTACATTTACAATATTATCTATTAGGCTGGATTTTCTGTGTGATTCGGTATTGGAATCAGGCCAAAAGGTCCAAATCTACATTAATATAATTGTTCCTAATTTGTCTCAGTGAAAGATTTAACATGGGCATGCCAAATTAAAGGGAATAATTTTATTATACTGATGGCTGTAAACAGGCATGAAATATCCAGCTTTCTCGCTTGCCAACAACAAATGTAGCAAGGCTTCCTTTTGTCTTATGCTTGTGACAAAAACAAATTTACTATAAGAGATGCCCAGATCACTATTTAGGAAGTTCTAATTTCAATGCAATAATTAACATCATTATTCTCCTGCTATATAATCGGACACTGTCTGTTAAATTTGAATGTTACAGGAATGGATAATATAGAAGTAGTAATCAAAATAGCCACTTTGTTACATTCAAAGCAGCTATCTGGATTGATCTCTCTGCATAAAAATTCATAGTCTTTTACTTTTCTATTTTACTGAAATTTCATTTTAGTTGTAAACGGATATCAAATTAATTTGGCTATTGGATTCTCTCATCATCATCATCATCTTGTTAAATTTAGCTCTCCAACTCTATACCTGCAGAGAAAATAATCAAAAACCTTAATTACTTTGAATTGTATCATAAATATTTTTTAAAATATCACTTACAGCCTTCAGGTTTGTTTTTTTCTGTTTTGCATACACTTAGTTAATGAGCTTTTCTTATGCAAATATTTTGGATTTTTCCCCCCAAAATTTATACATTTATTTAATGCAAATTTTGTATTTTGCTCTTATACAATCAGCATCCATTCTACACAAGTCGTTAGCTTAGATAATCTGTTTCTGTCAAATTAGTTATGATTTGTATGAGTATTTTACAAGTATTTTGTACAAGTGGCATCAGTTCATTCCAGGCACATTTCTTCCTTAATGGCATCCTTCTTTTCTTTTGTAATTAATAAAATAACTGCAGCAGAGATTTTACTGTATCATATTTTGATAAATGTTCTCTCAACAACATCATTTCTGGAGAAAAAGTCTTGTCAATTTGTATCCTTTAATAATTTGTTTATTCTCAATTACAAAAACAAATCTTGAAATTCATCCCCATACATACATACATACATTATCTCTCTAATATATATATATATATAAGCAAATATATGGATATAGATCCGACAGTATGAAGAAAAATATATACGGAAAAAACAAACAAAAATCCTTATATACACTTATGCTGTTTTAATGTTAATATGTCAACGTCGGACGTTTCGGTCTAATAAACCATCTTCAGGACATATTCATAAATTATAACATTATCAATACAACATGACAAAGACGATGTACATAAAACTTATCCAAACAAATAACTGAAAGTTTTATAAGATCAGCGCTCCGTTTAAAACAAATAACTGAAAGTTTTATAAGATCAGCGCTCCGTTTAAAACAGAGTGCTGATCTTATAAAACTTTCAGTTATTTGTTTGGATAAGTCTTGTTCTTATGTACATCGTCTTTGTCATGTTGTATTGATAATGTTATAATTTATGAATATGTCCTGAAGATGGTTTATTTTTGTTTGTTTTTTCCATATATATTTTTCTTCATATATATATATATATATATATATATATATATATATATATATTGATAGCCTATGTTGCATAGGTCAAGTCCCTTTTGTTTGCTCCACTATACAATTGTTTCTTAGAGCAATTTGCATATGCCATAAAATGGTATCAGTAAAATTGTATTTAAAGCTGTTTAATTGGTTTAAACATTTGGTAGTTATTTATTTTGTGCATGTCATGTTAGAATTTTTCTCTGTTAGATTTTCAAAATATGCTATTAAATATATCAAAATTACTTACTTCCCTTGGCTCCTCAGATTTAAATTCTATGTTTATTACCCACTATTTGTAGCTATAAATAGCTTTATTTGAATATTTAAGCAGTTTTCATAATAAAAAGCCATCATCAAAATAACTGTATATTTATAAACATCACAAAATACTAGATTAGAAATGTACAACAAAAAAGTATTCTTTTTTTCAATACCACTTTTAAAGTAACATAAACAAAGTGACACCTTCCATTAAAACAAGAAGTTAATTGGGCAAGGTATAATACAAATGATGATAGATATAAATAATAAAATTGTATTTATTTCATGTCATGGATTTATCTAATATTTATACACAAAACTGACCATCTTATATATATATATATATATATATATAATTTTTAGTTGTTTGAGTGGGGACATACAAGTTATATATATTAAAATAATAAGAACAGTTTAGATTTACAATCAGGGGTTCTTAGTGATTATTTTTATAAAACAGTACTCTATACAAAACAGTAGAACATAATAATATTATTATTTTCTATTTTAAAAATATGGTTCCATTGCTACACAGGAATTACCATGTTTCAAAAGAGAAACTAAAATTTTAAATTTAATTATAATATTAAATTTAAAATCCATAGCGCTTTTCCATTCTCAAGTGATTTTTGGAATAATTTATTAAAAAATTTACTTCATTCATAAGCACAATCTTAATATTTTAAATTGTTAAGGTTACGGAAGATTCAATCACTTTGTTAAGGGGTAGTTGGATTTTAATTTCCCTAGATAACTTATGTATCAGGTTAAGTTCAGGTGGGTTAGGGGTGCCTGCTCACAAACAATGACATCCGTTTTTTATGTGTCATCTGGATTTTTCAATGATAAAAAGTTTTTGGCATTTTTAGTTGGCTGCTTAATTTATAATTTCATGCACAAAGATTTCTTAAAAGAGTCATCTGAATATGAGTAAGTTGTATTTTCAATATTTAATATCTATTCCTACAAATTTAAAGTACTTTTCTACTTCTAATAACTAATAGATTATATGTTATTTTTTACAAATAAATATATTAGAATTACATTCATATTTTTAAAAAAATTATTAATCAAAGATCAAGTATAAATATGTATGTTTCATTTTCATCTCTTTTTCCCAATTAAACATTATTTAAGAAAAATATTTGACAGTATCTGCAAAAACTAGCTATTTCATTACTTTGATAAGTAAATTTTTATTTTTCAGAAACTTATTAATATATAATTTTTCATGTATGCACAAAGGACATGGGGTGTTTAATGACCTACAAGCTCTAGCTCTTCTTATTAATTTCCATTTTACTGTTGGTGCTTTATTGGTTTCTTTTAAGTGCCAGAAATATTTAGATAGAGACATTGATTTCGGTATTTATTATTTTTAAAGGACATTTGATGTTGGTTCCAATGTCTTTTGAAATCATGTTTTGTGCATCCACTGTAGATTTTAACTATGTCTGGATCTTCAATAGAAATATTGCATTGATAAACCAATGATTCCATGCAACATTTATTATTGAGAGGACAGTTTTGAGGATTTCTACAATTACAAAATTTTACCTTATCTTCATTTCTTTTTATTTTAGGATCTAGATTTTTTTGGATTTTGGTCTAAGTGTTTACTCAAGATATTAGCATTATGTTTCTTAATAATCATTTCTAAGTAAGTTTACAGTACAACAGTTTAAGGGTATTTTTATTAAAATTGTGCTGAATTTACTGTCTCTAGGAAAATGTTTATCAATTAATGCAAGGAATTTTTGTCCTAATTTATTTTTTACCATTTGGTTGTATGGAGGTGTATACCAAATTATTTTTCTCTTTCATTTTTTCTATTGTGTCCATTTTCATTTTTATATAATTGAGTTTTGGGCATTTGTAGCCACTATTTACAGCTTTATTATAGAAATTACTATGTTCATAGAATATTTTCTCATTTGCTGAATTTGTACTTATTGTACTTATTCTCTTTTCGATAGATAAAGGTATATGCTTATATGGAGGTTGATTAGACTTAGGGTGTATATACAAAGGATTAGTATTGGGCTTTTTGTAAGGTAGGTATATATTATTCATTAAATCTAATGTTATATCAATCAAGTTCACTTTTATCAATTTAGTACTTACGGTAATTTTCAAGTTCAGGCATGTAAATTCCCTGTATAATAGTTTTCTAATTTTATTAATTTTAAAGTTTTAGAATTTTTTTATAACCATAAGAACATCATCTCTGTACAATCCAATATCATTAATAGTACTTTTGCGATATGATGTAAGATTATAGTTCTGACCTTATTGGTCTTTTTATATTATATAATCTTACAGCATATTTTGTAGAAAATGTATGTTCCCCAACAGGAATTGAACCTGTATTCCTAGACGTTTCATGAGCATTGATCAAGAGAAATTGTTGATGATTGTGTGTTTATAAAACAGTAATTTGGACTTTGCTAACCAGATACTTCTCTGTAGCTAAATGGTATAGCACATTAGATCAAATGACGGTTTCCATAAAGGAATACAGGTTCAATTCCTATCGGAGAATGCATATTTTCTACAAAATTTCTCGAACATTCAGGCCAGTAAATGTAATTAATACTGTTTAATTAAAACCATAGTATTTACTTAAATAATTTTTATCTATAAAAATAATGTATAAACAAAAAAATATATTTAGCATGTGT